ACCAATTAGTGGTGGATTTGTGAGAAATGATGGTAGACATCTGTTATGTTCAAACATGATTTGGAAAAATGTGGTTAGGTTAGGTTGAGATCCTTCTTCAAACCTTTTATCCCAACATTGCTTAAAAGAAAAAGCAATGAAACCTTAGTTTATCATAGCAACAAAAATAGTATATTGTAATTTGAACACTTTCTTGAAATTGGAAGTGGTGATCATGACTTTTGACCCATGATCAAAAGTCAAAAGCCTACCTACAGTGGAACCGTTACAAGTTCCTTTAGGAAATTCTGACAGATCACGGCCAAGAGATGTATTCCCTTTCTAAATTATGAAATTTATCATCTAGAAATAAAGATTTGTTTTACCAATGCAATTAGGGCTCTTGTGATTATTCTCCAATACTCTATGTAAATCTTTGCTATTATTCCAATACCAATAAGCATAACTTTACTAATTATTAACAATAACTATTATTAATTAATCTCTGCTGTTATCTCTTTCAGGTCCTCCTTCCGAACCAACCTGGCAGTGAAGTTTGTGGTCCAGGCTGGATTGTCTTCTCAGAAGTCTTTCTGCATCCTTTTTACAGCTGTAATGTCTTCAAAGAGACTGGAATCACATTGTTTAGGGTAAAACTGAAGATGGTTCCTTCACTGATCAGCTTTATGACTTTTCTAGTCACTCTATAAGTCTTCAGTATCTTCTTAGTCCACCTTGTAACACTTTAGCATCTTCTGCAGCTGCACATTCATCTGACATCCCATCATATCCTGCATTACTATTTTTGATTGGTGAAATCATCAGCTGGACAAAAAAACAACAAACCCCACAGCAATGAAGAGAAGAAGGAAGGACTCGTGTGCACAAGCCCCGGTGAGATTTTTATTCTACAGAGGAAATGACAAAAACAGGTAGCCCTCGACTTACAACAGTTCATTCAGTGACCATTCAAAGTTACAATGGCACTGAAAAAAGTGATTTATGGCCATTTTTCACACTTATGACAGTTGCAGCATCCCCATGGTGATGTGATCAAAATTCAGATGCTCGGCAGCTGATTCGTATTTATGATGGTGGCAGTGTCCCAAGGTAATGTGATCCTTCTGACAAGCAAAGTCAATGGGGAAGCCAGATTCACTTAACAACCATGTTACTAACTTATCAACTGCAATTATTCATTTAACAATTGTGACAAATCATAAAATGGGCAAAACTCACTTAATAAATGTCTCACTTAACAACAGAAACTTTGGTCTCAATGATGGTCGTAAATCAAGGATTGCCTATACAGGCTCATACAGGTAGGGATTAAAGAGTTAATTCCTCTCTTTCACTGCCAATCAATGCATATTGAATTTAAATTGAACTTCATCCATGGGAACAGCGTTGGGACAATATGATTTCTCAGACTCATGTCTTTGAATCCAGAAATGGGACTCTGCAGGTTTCATAATATCTTTTTGCTGGACATCAAACACCCTGCCTCCAACACTTAGACCTTTCTGGTAGCTTTGGCAGATGGCCTTTTTGGGAATCTCAACCTGAGAAAGTCAACAAAAGAGCCATACTGGGGTCAAGGCAAAGAGAAGTTGGAGAAAGCTCTGGTCAAATTTCATTAGGATTTTGCTATCTTTCCAAGTTAGGGAGATTTTCAGAAGCCTGACTAAAAGCCTCATTTTCTTTTCTTCTATTAGACTAATAAGTGGAGGAAATGATAGTAATAATGGAAGTAAAAAAAACAAAAAACATGGACACGTATTTTCAATCTTTGCTTCTGCCCTGTTAGATTTAATTGGACAAAACATTCTGACATGTTAGTGTACTCCATTGTTGGAAAAGTCCAGCCAAAGCATAGGATTGCCCAAATACCTTGCACTATGTTTTATTATCACCTCAGACAACTGTTAGTAAGGTGATTTGATAGTATTATTCAGAAGCTCTTCTATTAATAGAAAAAGCTCACATGAAAGCAAAATTCCTATTGCTTTTGTGTCTCTTTAATTATAGGAATACAAATGACTGTTCCAAATTTTAATAAAGAATCTATACCCCAGATAATTGCTATTGTTGCAGCATGGTAAGAGAATTTCAATACGTTGTTTTGACCAACTGAAGGGAAATGGATATTTCATCATCAAAGCCATTAACAAGGCTCTGGAAATAAGTATAATCTACTTCAAAGAAACAGAAGAACAATGCTGGCTTTGAACATCCTGGATTATCTTTGTTAGTACAGACTAGTAATAGGCTAATTTTAACTTATTCCTCCTCCCCATTTCCCTGCTTATATGGACGTTACAATAGATGATTGAAGCTCTAAGAAAATGCCCAACAGAAATGCTGCAACAGATGTTATCCTACTTGGAGATCTCCACATGCAATGGAATGAGAACTAATAGTATTTCTACCCTACTACATCCACCACAGATAGGGAGATAGCAAACAAGAAGGTAATGTGGGAAGCGCCCCCCCTCCCGCCACTCCTAGAGAATGAAATATTATGGGGGACATTAAAAGAGGTAGGATATTATATTTTCCCAAAAGAGAAATGGAGAAAAATCTTAACGAAGGCAAAAAGCAGCCCCAGTCTTTCTTATTAGCCTCAAGCAGAAGCCTCAAGTCTTTAGAGATGGATATTTTGTTAAATATAAGACTGGACCAATCTATTCATAAGCGAAACGCCTTCAGCCAGAGCTCCCACAGCTGATGTGATTAAGAATTTACATTCCCCCACCTAAATTCTAAGGACATGACATGACCTTTAGGACATAATAGGATTAATCCACCACCATTGAAATAGTAAAAGACACAAGGCTCACTATGTTGCACAACCCCCTGGAGCAGGGGTCACCAACCTTTCGGACCTCAGGGACCACTAAATTCATAATTTTAAATCCCACAGACCACTAATATGATCTGCCTAATGAGCAGCGGGGTGGGTGTGGCTAGGTGCTCATGTGACTGGGTGGGCATGGCCAACTCAGTGTCACTCATGTCGAGGGGTGCCTCATCGACCTCTACTCGCCCCTCCCCTCCCAGTCACTCCTAGCCTCCCCGCCCACGCTCCTTAGGGACCCAACAGGAAGCAGTTGTTGGAGCTAAGCAGCCACCACAAGAAAGAGTTGGCAAAACAGCTGGGTCAGTTCAAATTGGATCTGACCAAGAAGGAAGCTCAGCAGAAGCACCTCACTGAGGACTACAAGCATAGGCTTTCCAAACAAAGGGAAGACCTGCGGGAATGCAAGGCCAGGTACCGGCGCCTGGAGGGTCAGCAGATTGAGATGGTCAGCCAGTTCCAGGCCACGATGCAGTCCCATTGGAACAAGGCCCTCTGGCTCTTCATCACCAGCAATGCTTCCCTCCAGTCTTTGCCCAAAACCCCATACCAGGAGGCTGAAGCAGATCCCAAGTTGGAATTTCTGCCTCCTTCTGACCCGCACAAAAAGACCCTGAAGGGGGAGCTGGCATGCACCAAGGTGGGACTGCTGCAGCCCATCCTCCAGCAGCAGAACAAACTGCAAGGGAGCTCAAGGCTTGATTGCAAGAAGTCCCATGCTCCTAGGAAGACAGGAAAAAGCTCTTCAGTTCGCTGGCCTCCCAATCTGGCGTACCTTGGCAACTGGACTGTTTCTCTCCACTCCCCTTTCCAGTTTTGTCTGCTGGATCGACTCAGGGGGACATCAACCTAGCTTGATGCTGGGCCGCTGTGTGCCCGGACCAGGCCCTTTCTCTCAGCCTCCTGCCCATCTCTGCTTCTGTGAGGTCTCTGGGCTGGGAGAAAGTGCCTAGTCCAGGCACACAGCCTTCCAGGAACCTCTTTTGTGTTCCTTTTCTCAAGGAGCTTTGTAGTCAATCTAAGTGAAGGAAAAAGAAGACAGGCAGACTGATGGTGGCTTGCTGACATCAGTGGGAAAGTCGGTCCCATATTCCAGAGCTCTAGTAGTCACAGGACTGGCCCTTTGGTAATCCTGAAGCTGCTCCTCCACCCGGGTACACCAGCCATGGACTAAATAGGCCACCTGCAAACTCTGTCTCTTGAGGAGCCCGGCCTAAGTTTTGTGCGCTGCACACTGAAGCGATTTGACTCCCAGGGAGGGAGGTGACCAAGCTAAGTGCCTGAAGGACTCCATCCCATCCCTGGGAGCCAAAGCGCTTCAGTGTGTGGCATGCAGCACGTGACACTTAGGCCGGGCTCCTCAAGAGACGGAATTTGCAGGGGGCTGATCTAGCACCCAAGATGGCTACAAGATAAATGTTCATTCTCGGCCTATTTGAGATTCCTAGCTGCAATGGATAGCAAAGCTAGGGACTCCAGCTGCTTCACTCTGCTGTGGTGCTTCCTGGATGCAGCTTACAGCTCTGAGCCCCAAGCAGCAGGAGGCGAGGGCTGCCTTGGTGCCACCAGCTGGCATAAATGTACCACAACCAAGGTGGAATGCTGATGCTGCACAAATGTAAGTGGTGTTTCTCTCCCTCACACTAAGGCTCCAGGCATCGCCACAGCCACTTTGGCCCACCTGTACTGCACCCCCCCCTGCTGCATCAGCACCGTTACCTCATTCCGGCCGGCAAGGGCTGCGCTACTTTTTGCACGTTGCACCACCTGCAAAGTTGCACATTGCATGTGCCACCTCCTACGACAGAGATTTCCAGCCCCACCATGAGCTGCCCAGCCGATCCCATATTCCAGAGCTCTAGTAGTCACAGGAGTGGCCCTTTGGTCATTCCAAAGCAGCTCCTCCATTCGGGTGCACTGGCCTGCACTGGCCTTAAATTATATAATAATTTAATATAATTATATTATATTATAATATAATTATATAATAATTTATATAATAATTTATCCAGTGGAAACAACAATAGGAGAACCTCACAGTAGTGAAGGTAGCTTAAAACATCATGAAAATAAAGTGAAGGAGAGAACCAGTTTGATGTAGTAGTTAAGGCATCAACCTAGACTGTGAATTCTAGCACACTTAGGCAGGAAGCCTACTGAGTGACACTGAACCAGTTCTTCTCTTTCAGCTCTAGAAAGAAGACAGTGGAAATCTCCATCGGCCTCCAAAATCTTGCCAAGAAAAGTCCAGGAAGTTGCTACTGATTCAGAAGCACAAAAAAGGGTGAAAAAAGATTACATCTTCTCTCACGCAGAAAAAAATGCTTTCAGAAAACTGGAGGAGAGTTTTTAGTAGAATATGGTTCTCTCTGTCCCAAAGGTACTTTTTCAGGAGGAAACTAGACTTTCTTGTTTTTCTTTGAAGACTTCTCATCCAAGAAGCTCCTTCAGCTCTGACTGGATCCTTCCAATCCATCCATTCCACACCATCCAATCAGAGCTGAAGAAGCTTCTTGGATGAGAAGTGAAACATCTTCAAAGAAAAACAAGAAAGTTCAGTTGCCTGCTGAAAAATCACCTTTGGGACAACCATACCTGGATGACTGAGACCTGGTCCTCTTTGCATGATATGTAACTGGAGGAGGGGGTACATTTAGCCTAAAGAAACATAGTCTTGCTCAGATCTACATTTCTGTGGCCACACAACATCTTTGGTATCATGTGTGCTATTAGCTGAATTGAGCCTCCTCACTCTGAACACATTTTAATCTTCCAAATTTTAATCTCCCAATATTTGTTTTGGGGGTGGTGGGGGATACAAAGAGTTGAGGAAAAGGTCAGAATCTTTCTGCACTGTAGCATTTAATACCCGTAGCATTTAATCATTGCACGTTTTCTTGTTTTCCAGATGGGGGAAGTAAAAACAGAAGCGTCACAATGTCCAGTCCATTTTGTGGAGGTGGGGAGGATTTATGAACTGGATCTTAGGTGATATATTTAGTTATCCTGCATCATATGCTGCCTGTACACTGACAAGAAGGGTCTCTGGGCCATTAATATAAAAGAGAACTTAGTTACTAAATACATAACAAAGCTGACTATAATGTTTTTACAATCCCAAAAATGGGTCACACAGTGAATTCCACAGATCATGTGTTTGTTTGTTTGTTTGTTTGTTTAGAAAATTTATGTAACCAACTCAATGAATGTGACTTTAGATAGTGTACAATTAGCAATTAAAGCAAATGCCACAACTGTTAAAATGCTTAAACCTGAAATGCACTACTAAAATGTAACCTAGCCTAACCTAAACAAACAAGCAAGCAAAAAAACCCAAACAAATAAATATATTTAAAAATGTAAGATTATGGGAGAAAATCCATATAAACACATTTCACATTTCTTGTGCTTATTCTGGACATGGAACTGAATGCTAACGTCGCTCTGCAAACTTATTTGCAGCCTGTGATTTCTTGCTTGCATTAAAAAGAGATAATGACATGGGTTGCCAGGGACTGCAATTAAAAGCAGCTACTTTATTTATTAAACTGAGCTGGGCCTGAAGATAGTAAATATTATTATCTATTGCAAGTTAGCATAAGTAATTAGAGGCCTATTTTATGTGTTGGTATGAGAAATACTATATAATTCAAATAAACTCTCTATAAATTGATTTATTGTCCCTTAAGGCCAAAGTTAATCTTTTCTAGAATTAACTAAATATATATTCCTGCCTAATAGCAATGACAAACAGTACATTGTCCAAATGATGACCGGCACATTTTTCTTACGTGGAATTACAGTGCCAGTCATAAATCTATTAGAGAAGTATAATTCTTGGACAAGCTAACTGAGATATTAGAGTACCCTTGAAGAGCTTGTTCCTTTTCTGGAACATCCATTTTAAACTAGATTTTTATAGCCCAAAAGCACATTTTTAGTCCACATTTTTCTAAAAGAAATTTGTGTCTTGTTTACACTGAAAGAAGAAAAGGATAGGACTTCAGTAAAGATGGAGGCAAACTGCATAAGACGGAACCTGTCCCATATTAAAATAGTATCTAATTTTTTGCATACCCTTAGTGCTTTTTTGACCGGACAGTCAAAAAATCAAGATGGTAGCCTCAGCCATTCAGTTGAAGTTTTTTTTTTTTTCATCTGTCACTTAGCATATAAAAAGAGGGCAAGGCTTTGATCACATGACCACTTTGACTTTTGATTCTTGACCACTTGATTCCCTATTTTAAATTTTAGTAGTTCTATTCATGATAGCATCTGACAGAATTATAAAGACCATAAATTTAATCCAGATGAGCCTGCCTTAAGCAGTCTGAGACTACTTGTTAGGTCTGGGACTCAGCTGAGATCACAACCAAAGACCTATGACATCATTGTGGGAACTGGTGGGAAATCTCCTTGACCCAATGGTTCTATAGAGTAGATAGTAATAGGTCATCACTTGTATGTCCAGAGCAAAAGCCAGGTTCAAATCTGCCCTCAGCTGCAGAAATGTCCAGGATTGCTGGAGAGAAGGGAGTAATTTCTTGTGCTTCTGAATGAAACTCGGGTTTCAAATCTGTAAATAAACAGATTTGTTAACAAGGGGACTGTTGTACATGTTGAATTTTCCATCACAGCTCTTAGATGTGTAAAGTAAAAAGGAGAGTTTTAACAGCAGCTTCTGAAAGTAGATGTGCAAGCTGGGAACAAAAAATCTGACTGCATTAATGATCCAGAGAGAGATGATCTATTCCTCTCCCATGGATCATGAAGAACTTCTTTCAAAAGATCTGCATTTAACCCTAGTATCTTCCCTTAATGAGATTATGAAAGAATGGCCCAAAGCACTGATAATCATCTAATTTCCACCTCTTTCTTCTGGTCTCACTTTGTAACAAGAAAGAGACACGGTTACTAGGGCCACATTAAAAAAAATATGATACCATTATGCTTAATTTCAACCTTTGGTTCCTGGTAAAAGGTTAATGTAGTTCTTACTACACTCATAATCTCCCAACAGAAAGATGAGTGAATGGCAATCTAAACCAGGCAATACCATCAGTTCAACTACAACAGGATAGTGAAGGATGTTAAGAGCTCATTTATCTTCATTAACTCTTCTGCAATATGTATCCTTAGGGTCATTCATTCACTATCTTTGTGACCCATAATTGCAATAGTGAAATTATGAAAATGCTCTCCAGTGAAAAAGACTCGTTGAAATAAATAGGGCACAGGAGTAGGTGTGTTTGAAAATGAAATTGTAGTCCATTATGAATGAAGAAAACTCGACTTGGGGATTGTTCGTCAAGCAAGAAGTTTTCTTCATTTTGCTTTCATTTAACAATTTGACAAGTGACCAAACAAGGACTGCATTTCGTGTGATTCTCTTGTCTTTATTTAAGGGCTTTTTTCCTAATTTAGTTTGCATACATAAATATAAAGGAGCAATATTGACTGCCAAACAATCACCACTTTTCTCCATCAAACAAGTTTCATTTACAGGATACATGCTAAGTTTAAACTCTTCAGGCAAGTTGAAATAGAGAGAATCAGAGAAGAAGGCAAAAGCTATTTTCTTCTCCGAGAAATACATGCTGTGTGAATTATTTTTAGGTTTCTAGCTTGGGCTCAGTATTTATCTTTGAGAATCCTACAATTCTATAAAGTTTGATTTTTAGTATTCTCCAGTTGTTCCCATAAATCCTCTTCATGCTGGCTGCCAAGGTTTTTTTGTCCAGTGTTATAGCTATAGTTTTGGCCACAATTTCCTGTGTTGTTCAGCTTTGTCTTTGTAATAGCATCCTTCAAAGATTGCAGGAGAAGAAAACATCATTTATTTAAGTTTTTGCTAATTTCATTCCAATTGCTCTGCTTCAGGCAGTTAGAGCTTCTGTATAGTAGGAACAATCAGGTTAGCAAAACTCAAAATCCACTACTATGGAGTCCCCTACTTTAAGGATCATGTAACAAAGTTCACTAATAGGAAAGTATTAGGATGTGTGCTGAAAGTAGTTTATTTTCTGATTATTTGTTCTGTGTTAAATTGTGTAAGGAATCCAGTTCAAATGTCATTTTAAGACATTTGGTATAACTGTTAGATTTTGCACTAGGACTGCAAAAGATTTTGCATTGATTAGAAGAAATGACCAGTCAGAAAATTTAATCTGCAGGGTGCTTGTCCTACTTGCTTGATTTACAAAGAAAATGTACAGTATAGGCAGAACATTTTTAATGTTATATGCATGCATATGGGAAAAGATCTTACTGTGAAAAACTCAGTAGAGGGATATCTATCAATACTAGGGTTCTTTTTATTTCCTTTTATATCCACCATCCAAACTCCCACATGCCAGCTATAATAAGTGTTTTCTATGATTATTTGTTAATGGTGTGTTCTGGATCTATAAACAGAGTTACTATAACTCTCCCCCTCTCATCTGCTTTTAAATAACATTTAAACTTAAATTAAAGTGCAGAAAAGGATGTCCAAATTATAAGAATACAGCAACAAGAATACTTGGCTTTCTAGCTTAAACAAGGCATGAAGGAAGGACTTGACCAGAATTATTAAAATAAGGCAGAGAAAATAAATAGGGAGGAATACTTCTCCTTCACAACAGTAGATCCCAAGGAGTTTTACATACAATTAAGAAACAGAATTTCTTATACAAAACGTAGAGATAGCTATGAACTTGGATACACTTTGATTATGGATTAGGCACATTTTTAGCAATCAGCAATGTATAAACGTAAGAAAGACTGTTTATAGGCCTTGTTGGGAACTATTATACAGTAAGGTCCTTCTATGGATTTGTGGATTAAAAGAGCTATAGAGGCAGAGGGAAAAAAATAAGATGACTACTATTCAATAACAAGAAGAGCAGAAGTCATAATTTTGTATTTTTTCCCTTTCTTTCCCTTTTATTTTCTTATATTATTCTTAATTTTTTTAAATATATATATATATATTATTCAAAAATTCAGAGATAAAAAAGAAAACTGTATGCATATGGGCTTTACTTTTATATATTTTACCAAATATAACTATAGAATAAATGCACAGGCCATCAAAATGGGAAAAAAAATAAATACCAAGATTGATTTTCTCTCATTAAAATGGACCTAAAATGCCCAATAATAGAATGTATCCAAAAACTCTTTCCCCAAAATAGGACCTTAGCAGCTATCCCTTACAAATTACAGGAGAAATGAATCTTTCTCTTGCCCTTATCAAACACAAAAGTAAAATATTTGCCATATCTGATTGTTATGAAATAATGTTACGCGTTATTTTAGTGTCTTCAGAATACCCTTAAATTTCTTGCTATAAACATGTATACAGCTGAACCAGACTGTCATTTCTCTGTGTCATATATGTGGATATATACATAATTTTGTTTGTATGTATGTATGTATATATGTATGTATGTATGTATGTATGTATTTATTTATTTATCTTGTCATGTTTAAGAAGTGTAATATTGGAGGTGGTGACCCTTTAAGAGCTGTATGCAATGAAATTTCATTTTAATGTATGCCAATTAGTGTACATTCAAAGTGACAATAACATTATCCTATCCTATCCTATTCTATTATTTTGCTGGTTGTTTTGGTAAATAAGGTGTTTGAGAGTTAGTCTACCTTCCATGGAAAACATACTTGCCTAAACCTTGAAATAGTGGAAAGTCATCTTCAGTGCCCGATCTCTACGTGCACCATTTACATTTTCAATGAAATATTATTTTTTTAAGTTGGGGGGGGGATGTAATTCCATTAAAAATGGAGGCCAATCAGATGCAAGAACTACTTGACATTCCAATAAATGAGGCTACAGGGCTGAATTCTCTAAGAATGAAGAGTACTCACTACCTGGCCAGTTTGTGCACATACACCACCAACAAAATATTTTATGTTTAGAAAACTTTTGATGCAGTTTCTATTAATTAAACCTTATCTAAATGAAACTCTAGGGTTACCTTTTTATG